TCTATTTTCTGGGCTGAAAATCAAACTGGCCATCATTCTGTCCTGCATCACCTATCTCTTGGGGGCTTGTCACATTTATAACATGTAGCCATTTTCTCAGCTGTCAAACCATGCTCTTACCAAGCTCGGTCCCCCAACCCATGCTGTCAGCTCCTAATTCTAATCGACTCAAACGTCTGTGTGCGCACAAGTATAGTTTTTGAGAAATGTCTTTGGAATTGGAAGGGGATTCATTTCTTTTTTTTATTTTTTAATATTCCGTGTGAGTGTGTGCACTTAAATGTGTGTAATATAAGGATCTGGACAAAGGTGGCATAGCAAAGTAGGTCATGACAGAGGTTAGTACTGCATTAGCAACTGTCACCGGCACGACATGAGAGTTCAGACACCAGGGCAGCCCTCACCCTCTCACTCACAGTATAGACACACACACACACACACACTCTAACCAAGGATTTTTGAAACTCTGTGGCGTTCTGTCATGGATCTGAGTCACCAGGCCGTGACACACATGGAGGGCAGTGTCTGGAACAGGAGGAAGTGTCCAGTCTGTCTTTTGTGTGTCTGCACACACATGCATGACACAGTGTTTGGATATGACGAGGGCTTTTGACCTGCCAAAATCCAAACTCTTTGCCCTTGCCAAACATTTTTTTTTTTTTGGACACTTATTTGATGTTTTCCTTATTTGGCCTGGAGTCGTTTTAAATAGAAGTTGCTCAATATTCAAAGATTTGCTCCATTAAAGCACAGATGAATCCTCGCAAAAGGCTTTGCATCAGTATCTGCTTCTCAGGGTTGACTTATGGAAATCTCTCTCATTACTTCTGCCTTATATGGTTCAAAATCTCACATAAAAATATAATGATCCGAGCTGTTTCTGTTGTCTGCTGTGTCAGTCAACGATTTTTTAATGTTCTAAGTCTCTTCAGTTTCCATCCTCAGAAAGTCTGGGATAATTATGGGAGTAAAAAGGCTCCCTATCAGAGCAGATTAACAACATCTCACTAGCCTGAACTCCTCACTCCCTTTTATCTCCTCAAACACAGTAGAAGAGAAGAGGAGTTACGTAATTCCCACCTTAGGGACCCAGCCGACTTTCCACCCAACTTTTGTCTGTCTCTGCATGTCTAGGGCATCTGCTAGTTCTAAGCTGTTTGATGTGCATGTTTGAAGCAGCCATGCGATCGGGGAGGAAAGGATGTGTCTGTTGTTCGCAGCTCTTGCCGCTTTGCTCTGATCCCTCAAGGAACGAGTTTCAAAGCATGGCAAAGTTGGACCTTTCCTGGTTCTGCATTTAACACCTTCTCGATTCGCAGAGCTAAGGTGCTGTATAGCTTCCCTCCTTACCCACTGTTTAAGGATTCCTCAAAAGACCCTCCCTTGTCATTTAGTTATAACGTCTCTTTTGTCAAAATCTGTTTCAAATTATTTCTGAGGTCCCTAAAAGCCATGTTAGCACACAGAACCCTTAATGTGAGGTTATTTTACTGATTAAAAGAATATTAGATCATGTCAGCCATGAAAAAAAATTAATTACATATTCAAAATGGTAAAAACCGACAAGATTTTTTCTGTCTACTCATTAGAAACAGCTTTCATTCCCCTTGTGGAAAATAAATGAACAACAAGTTGAACTTTGGGTTAATTAGTCTCTGGCAGTTGGTGAAAAACATGTAGAAGAGTTTCAAGGCTGTAGCTGTCTTGCTTGTTTCTATTAAAACAAGTATAGGCCATATGAATCAGCGGTCAAATGTGAGCATAACCTGTGTTTGTGCAGTGTAAATTAAATTATAACATTTCTACCGCGCAAACAGTTCTTAATCTTGCTTTTCCCTTGTTTGACAGTACAATAGCTAATAAGAGATCATTCCTGTTTTTATAATTTCCTTAAGGAGCTCCCGCTCCTTCTGCTATTCATAAGGGAAAAGCAGCACAGAACTCCTTTAAATAAAAATAACCAAAGCAAAAACGAAATCTTTGATTGAACACATGTGCTTTCAGGATAAAAACTAATTACCAGCATCAGATTTACCTAACATGAATCAATTAGATATACACAGAGAAGAAATACTAAGACTTATGGATGCTCTCTTGAGTGGAATGAGAAATCACTGCACATTAAATAACATGATTAAGCATCTTTTGCAGGATTGATCTATGGAGAAACATTAATAGAGGACAAATTCTGCTTCGGTTGTCACTGTTGTATTTGTTGTGTTTGTGTATGCTTTTGGACTATAGCATTAATAACATAAGCATAAATGCCCATGGCCCATTAGAGCTGGAAACATAGTCTATAAATCTGTCTTTGGAACTGAAAAAGAATAGTTACAAAAGGCTTAAATAAGTAACAATGTTACAAAGAAAAATTGTACAGATATTGCTGTTAAGAATATTTATTTATTTTAACAAGACAAGACGTGAATGAAACAGTGTCGGAAGTGCTACCAGGTATCTTTTATTCATAAATCCCATTTTACATTGTACATTTAGGCACTTTGTTGCTAGCAGCCTATCACAAAAATACATAAATTGTTCCCATTTCTTTAAAATAAAAAAGGTATCGCGTAAAGCAGGCAAAGTGATTCCTAAAACTCGGCAATGCCAACACTCTCAGTCATGGATTGGCTGCCCCAGAACCTGGACATCAACATAATTGAAGCAGTGTGGGTTCCTCTTGACAGAAAACGGAACAAAAGACAGCCAACATCCAAAGAACAGCTTTGAATGTCCTTCAAGAAGCCTGGAGAACTATTCCCAAAGACTAATTAAAGAAATTATAATGTTTCTCTAAGTGTGTTCCGGCTGTGTTGAAGAATAAGGGTGGTCATACTAAATATTGACTCAATTTTTTTGTATAACCCCCTTTTCTATTTAAAAGTGTTAGATAAAAATATGAAACTACATTGTTGAAGAATGGGAGACCCCATTTTTAGATTCCTCCATTTCCAGATGCTTGTTAAAGTCCCCCACTGCTTACGCAATTGTTTCGTCAAGTTCAAAAAACACACGAAGCTTTGAAGCTGGCAGATTCCTCGGCTGCACAGAATAATTTCTGAAGGTTAATGCTCAAATAATACTAATTCTTGAATAGAATCGGAAAACTGTATTTTAAATGTTAGGTTAACTGCAAGATAAGTAATGTAATAAAAAAAAGAAAAGATTTACATTTCACATCGCACATAGAAGAGTTCATATGATAGCATAGAAAAGCTATAAAAGAATGTAACTACCATGAATTGTAAATTGTAAATAGATTAACAGAACTAATGATGAATATATTTACTGGTTGCACGCAGTGAATGGTCAACATTTTACATTATGAGAATTATTTGTATTTTTATGGGTCCAAGCAGTAAAGCTGTAGTAACACAAATGTAATTTGTTCATTTTGTGTTATCATTATTATTCTTCAATAAAAGCGCAACAACACTGCAAAGACCTGGAAAGATAAAAGTTTGTGACATTGTGCCAAATTCCCTCCTCAACCTAGAAACCTAATATATATATATATTATTATAAATGTATGACATTTATATTTGTAGTCAGTGTATATACACATGTATATGCATATATATATATATATATATATACACACACACACATAGAATTCAGTCATTTTTAGTTTTTAAGAGATTTCTATATTATTTGTGCGTGTGTGTGTCTTTTGCATTGTGATATGGGGATAAAGGTACGAATATAATACAATATAACTTTTTTCTCGACTAAATAAAAACGCCCATGTGAACTTGCATATGTACATCTGTAACTTGGACTTGAATGACGCAAACATTATTCACATGAGTCCTATGTGACAGTACCTAAAAACACCAGCAGTGGTCACTGGCAAACTTGGAAGTCCATGGCGCTTGTGATCAGAACATGGCATATGGTGTTTGTCAGTCATCCTGTTACCAGAGCAAGTCAGGACAACACACAGCAGGGGTTGAGTTGGGCATCGCTGGATGTCTGCCTTCTCAACTACATCCCGTTATTGCAGGTCCACACTCCGTTAAATGACGTAGTGCGACTGAAGAGCAGATCAGCATGCTTACGGGTCAGGGTTTTAATGAGAGGACCTTAGGGTTTTCCGCTGAGGCTGACAAAAGCCAGGTGGAGAGTTATTAAGGGGCAAAGGTAGCCAAGTAGAGATGTTCTCTACCAGTATAGCCCTATATGCCTAGGCCCTTTTCATCTTTAACCACCAGCTGCTCTGCTGCACTCAGGCCTCAAACACAGGTAAGGAAGTTTCTCTGTATTCCCTCAAGATTTTCACTGTTAAAATTTATGTGTATAATAACCAGGATGAAAATAAAGTGTGGGCAGAATCTATAATTCAACCCATCTACTGTGCCAAGGAGCCTGGCACAAGGCCGAGAGGGATAGAGGAGTGGCGGACCCGATAGAGTGTTCTGCCAATGCTGTAATGTCTGGCACAGGTGCATTGTTAAAGACACTGTTAAAATGATTTATTTTCAATCCAATAATCTGCAGTACATTATATGATGTCCACAAAAGGTCTATATAGTTTCTAAATGACTGCTAAATATGTTTTTCACCTTGAAACAGAAGCTGAACTTCAAACGTGCAAGAATATCCATCACAAATAGGATTTAACTAATATCACTTCTGTAATACTGGACAAATCATCTCCACTCTTGAGCACTGTAACTGCTAAGCTGGACAGCAAGGTGTGGGCTGACCTTGAGGATACACTGACAGTATCCACATTGGTGATTCTGGGGCATATTCTTTCTAGCTTTGATGGGGCCATCATAAAATCTGGCTCAACTGGGGATAAAAGTAAAGCAAACGGACTGAGAACAAAATCAATTTTCAATCTACTTCAACAGAGGCTGTGCAGAAATAACATTAGGCTCAACTTTGGGTGACTGAAATCTAAAAAAACTAAAAAGGAAAAAAAAATATACCTATGAAACTTAGAACATTACAAAAATATTACATTTTTGGGGATGATTTTCTATTTAGAAAAAGATTATCACTATGTTTTTCACAAGGCTAATGCAACATAGAGTGAAGACCAAGTGTGTCATCAAGATGTAACATTTGAAATGATCCTCTTTTCTCAAACACTGAAAATTTGGAGAATACGACAACTCTTCCACAGATCTTGTTTTTCAAATGGTATTTCCATCAAAGAATGCAGTATTAGCTTTTCCCCCCCTCTCCCTCCTTTCTAAATTTTGAGTTGGGGTATTGCCATGTGCCTCATCTTTGCAGCTATTAGGTAGAATCTCACAAGAAGTTATTAACAGAAAATGCCAGGAAAAGTCATCATTCGGCATCACTTCATGCTCTTTCACTCCTCCAAACCTTCAGACATTATGTATTGATAACTGAATTCACTTTTACACTTTTCTTTGAAACCCAACACAATAAAAATCTGAATAGCTTTCAAATGTTTGTGTATGAAGTCCTCTTTTTTGCCCTTTGTTCAAGCGGTCTCCCTCGTATGGCCAGGGTATCATGGGCAGTGTCCATGCTGTTACTGCTGATGCTCTGCTCTCCAGGGGGGTCTTCGGTCCCCCTCAAGCATCTGTGTGGTTCCCACCTGGTGGACGCCCTCTACTTTGTGTGTGGAGAAAGGGGCTTTTTCTACAATCCGAGCCGGACCCACAAGCGTGATGTGGAACATCTGCTCGGTAAGACCACCGTTCTGCTTCTCTTTTTTTTGACTTGTGTAAAATAAGCTCTAATTGTCCCCTTGATGGTGGGAGTTCAGAAAGGAACAGCATGACATCACCCCAAGACCCCAGTGGTGCTTTGTGTGTCTAGTCTCTGAACACAGTGTTCAAAGTTCAGACTCAGTCTAATGAAAATGCCAAATTGGATGCTAGCTGGAAGAAAAATGTTTAGGGACAACATGCTGAAAGCTTTACAGAACTATATCAATGTATTGAGTCATCATTAGTGTGCAAAGCCTAACTCCAGGCTCCTCTGAGTTCAGTGGTGTAGTCAGGCTTGTGGTTTGTAGCTTTCAACATCTATGCTGTGACAAAACCAGTTGATCAAAATTGTGAAATCGCTAAATTATTCATTATGTTATTTCTAGAAACTTTTTTGGATCTTCCGCATCAAACGCTCTATTGATGTTTCGACGTTAACATTAGGGGTGTAAGCTATGATATGCCTCCGTTAGCGCTCCATCATATCTCCTCTTGAAGTACAGACTAACAAGACTAAATGGATTGGGGAGATCAGATTAACTAGCCATTAAGTCTCCATTAAAGTGTGAACAGTAAATGGTATTTTGCGGAACTGGAGATTTGCACAGCAGCATCAGGACTTAACACAGGGCTGTGGAAACTTTCTCCACTTCAAAGGGTTCCTGTCTAAAAGGGCCAGACAGGACCAGCGACTGTGGAGGGCTTTGTCGGGCCGCGACGAGCCCAAAGTGAAGAGAGGGATCGTGGAACAGTGCTGCCACAAGCCGTGCAGCATTTACCACCTGGAGGGCTACTGCGACTGACTCGCCACTTCAGGAGCACCACTCATAGCCTGTAAAAAGGTCCCGAAGTCAATTTCTGGCCTGATACTTGCTGGCTATGTCTTATCAACTGAAGGAAATAAAGCTTCCTGACCCATAACCCAAGGCTCTTCTCTGCAAAGATGTGAATTTGTGTTTTTTTTGTCGCTCATATATAGTGCAGCGGAAACATGGGCTGCGGTAGCCTTTTGCTGTACTTCAACCTGTGGCTGCAGTCCTAGAGTGCTCTCTTCTGGCTGAGGATAGACATGGCCAAAATGATCCAAATGAGAGAAAAGAAAAAAGCTCCTTATAAAGCATTTCTACACCTAGCATGTGAATAGGTCTCAAGAACGATTGGGTGCAAGAAGAGTATTAAAATTTGTCTTTATTTACAGAATAAGACAGACTTATTAAGAGCTTTTCCCCATGAGATAATTACTACAACCCTAAGATTAATGAAAAAGATTCAAATTCAGTTAGCAAAATGCACCTTGGATTTTTAGCCAGTTACACTTTTGATCTCCAATTGTTAGCATCTAAGACTTTATTCCATCTTTTACCTCATTAAGTTTAAACAGTTTTTGTTACAAAAAAAAAAAAAAAAAAAAAATCCAAACAAAATGTACACACTAAAACAAAAGGCTGTAAAACCTCAGTTTACACTCTCATAACCCACAGATACTAGATCTCAGAAAAGTCTCTTGGCAGCGCTGCTAGCAGAGTCCTAAAGCCTAAAGTCCATAATGGTTTCCTAACAAAACAAACAGAGAATCAGAGTTTTAAAAACACTTTAGGAGTTACATAAAAATGAGACTCATCCACAAAAAAAAATGTCATATTTCATCTCATCATTCCTTCAAGGTTCTGGCCAGATGAAAGTGCTTACCGTCTTTAAGCGGCTCAGACGCTTCAGTTTGCCTGTTCTCCTTATCATGTTGGAAAGCTTTGCTGGGGTCAAACCTGCGGCGAGGCGTACCGGGGAGCTTTGACTTCACTTGCTCCAGATCAGTCTTTAGCCAGCTCACCTGAGAGCGAAGCTTAGACACCTCCTACACACACACGAAAAAAAAAGGGAAAATAAATAAATAAAAAGAAGGTGGGGAGGGTGTAGTGTAGAGGCATGTTAGCTTGAAATGATGTCTGCGTTTTGGAAGGCAGACAATTCTGCATCACGTTTTACCCGTTTCAGAGAGATGTTCTCATCCTTCAGCTTCACCACGTGTTTGATCTTCTGCTTCTGGTTCTGGTGTCCCAAGAGGCGAGCGTAAGCGTCAGCCAGTTTGTTTAATTCCTCCTGGTTTGCCCCGTTCTCATTAAGTAGTGCATTTCGCTCTGCTGCAAAGGCATCGAGCTGTTCCTGCAGACACACATTAATTAGTTTTCACTATTATTCTGATAACTGTGTGTTCACAGAAATGTTATGACATCAACATTCATTGTGATTTGACCACTTGATGAATACACATCTCCACTCTTCAAATCTTCACCAACTTCTGGGGAAAAAAAAAAAAAAAAAAAGTCTTGCCTTTTAGTTGCTTAAAAGCACTTCAATCGGTAAGACTAGAAAAGTACTGTGCAAGTACTGCTCCATTCACTGCTAAAAACCTCCACTTTTTTCCTCTCAATCACCTTCTTCACCAACTGTGTCTGTGAGCCATTTGATGCTGGGTGAATAGAGTAAAGTGGGATTATTAGAACTCTGGAGCTCCAAAGAGAGTGTGTAGAAGTACTGAAGCTGTTAATTGAGCTGAAGACAACTAAAAGACAGCCTGAACAGCAGAGGTGGGTGAGAAATATCTGCGGGTTCATATGTGGCAGTTTTATTTTGCTGGTAAGATAAACATAAAGTGCATGCACCCTGTCAACTAAACCAATTAAACAAGGAGGGGTTTTGCCGTTATTAATCTAAAAATACGAATTAGTGCAACTTTAATGAAAATGTGTGTGGGTTTCTATGAGTTGTCATAAAAATAAATCACAGACCTGGAAGGGCTTGACTTTGGCAAACAGTTCCTCATATTGTTTCTTCCAGTGCTCGGTCTCTGAACTTGAAGAACTTAAAAGAAAGTATACGATGAGTTAAAAATGCACAAATTGTAAGAGCAAAAACCTCCAGAGGACACACAAAGATCAACCTCTCTCACCTCTTCTCTTGTGCTTCAGTTATTTGTCTTTGCAGTTCCTGCCGCTGCTCCTCCAACTCCCACTGCAGCGTAACCTTCTCCTGAGTCAGTACTTTTACCTGCTCTCTTATAGCTCGTCCGTCTTGTCGCACCTCATCCAACACGCGCTGCAGAGCTTGTGTTTTCTCTTCTGCGAGGCCTAATTGGGCCCGGAAGCTCTCGGTTTCTTGTTCAACCTCATCCAGGTGAGACTGAAGCAGATTTCTGGCCTGCTCGGCCGTGCTAAGTTGATTTTCAAGATCCACCTTAGATTGGTCTCTGAGCTCTACCTGAGACAGTAGACCTTTCCTTTCCTCCTTTAATCTCTCGAGCTCAGTCTGTAGTCTGATCACCTCTGACCTTAGCTGCTGGTGGTCTTTCCTTTCAACCTCACATGCTTCCTTCTCCTCCTGAAGGGCGATCTGAATTTTAACCTTCTCCTCTCTTTCTTGTTTGAGCTGTGTCGTCATTTCCTCCTTTTCCCCACTGATTTCCTCCAGCAGTTTCTGGGCTTTTTCCCTCTCTTTTTGGAACTGAGCTACACTCTGACCTCTCTCTTCCCCCAGTTGTCCCAGTGCGTCTTCTTTCTCCTTTTTCTGCAGCTGTACCTCCTGCTGTAGCTGACTGATCTGAACAGCGTGGCTCACCTCCGCGGCCTTCATCTCATCATCTTTTTGTGCAAGGCAAGCCTGCACCTCCAGCAACATTCTACAAAGTCAAAGAGAAAGGTAGAAAAGTGACAACTTTAGCAAAGGTAGAAATTTTGTTTAAAAAAAAAAAATAATAATTTTTTTAGGATACCTCAAAATCTGCTCGCTGGCTTTCACTCCAGCTAACTGTATCGCCTGCTGCTCTTTTAACCATTCCCTGACTCTCTTGATCTCCTCCTCCTTCTGTTGAAACCCTGTGAGGATCACCTCCTTAATTTCAAGTTCTAGCTCTCTCTGCCTTTCCTTTGCTTCCTTTAAAGCCTCTCTGGTACTGAAAATTAAAACGAGCATCCCGTGAAGCCCATGCTCTGGCAGAAATCCACATTTAAAGCAAGCACAAATCAAACTGGCTTTTCAAGAGACACATCCAAGAACTACAGACGCTTGAGCGCTCACCTTTCCAGCTCCGTGACAGTTTCTGCCATCTTGCTCAGGGACTTTGTGTGCGCCTCTTCAAGCACTCTCACAGCAGCTAAATGCTCCTCTTTCACAGCTGCCACGTCATTGCTTTTACTTAAAAAAAAAAAAAAAGACACATTGTCAGTTTACGCTCCTAAAACACCCAATTCACTATAACAATTGACAGAAGTATCAAAAAATATACAAAATAAAATAGCAGTGGTCACATAATGCATCAAGTAACACTGCATTTAGAAAAACAGATGAGACAGTTTTTCAAACTTTTTCTTCCTCAACTTCCTAAAAACATTAATAAATTAATACTGTATCTTTGGGTTTGGATTTTTTTAAAAACACACAAATAAATAAATAATAATATTGGAAGATATAGTGGAATAACTGTGCTCGCAACAACAGCAGGGGTTGTTGCGAGCACACATCTACGGTCTACGTAACGAGGTGATCTGGGGTGAATACTTCAACTTTCATAAACTATTCGCTTCATGTTGCCTTGTGAAAACCCGTCCACTGAGATTTCCTCCTGATGCCACTGACTATCACAACTGGAGGAAGAGCTTACTGATGCTATTTGAAGAAAACTGGAGCTCTATGGTTTAACTTCACTTTTATGTAGTGTTAACGGAGTGAACTTGTACAAATGTAAGTGGAATAATAGGACTTTCTGTTTTCTCATGAAACTGCTCCCTTAATTTCATTCCAATTACCTTGTCGGCTGCAGCGAATATTCTCGTGTTGCCAAACTTTTATTTGTGTTTGGTGCGAACAAACCATAAGAGAATTAGTCTATGGTATGGAATAACCTTGAGTCGTAATAAAATCTTCGCTTGCAGCCCTAGCTACAAGGTGCACATCATCAATATTAAAGTGACGTGGCCCTCCAAACCTCTTACATTTACCAGACTCTCAAAAAGAGAAAAGAAAGAAAACAGTCACCAAGTGCCCTCCTTTCTTTATACACCAAGGATGAAGTCAGTACATTTGGAAACTTTAAATTGGTCTAAAACAGAGACAGTGACCCACTGACTCCGTCATGCTTGTGATGGACTGATGCACAGCAATTATTTTCTCCCCGCTTTATTTACGGTGCATGCCAGGACATGCTGCCAGTCTAGTGGGTCAAAAATAGTAACACATGGGCAGTGACACCCATCAGTTTGCTTGCCCTTTGGTTGCTCACCTCTCCAAAAGTGCTTCTGTATCACTCAGCTGTCTCTCCAGCTGCCTTTGGAGGGTCTCCCGACTCTCTGTCATTTCCTGATTATTCTGCTCCTGTTCTTCCATAAGGGCAAGCTCTCCCAGGACCTCCTCCATCTCTTCCTTTAGCTGTCTGAACCGATTCTCTGAATCCTCTCGCTCCTGCTCCACTAGCACAGATAGGGAGTCCACTAATGACTGCAGGGAGAGGTGAAAAGACAAAAAAAAAGAAACAATAAGTTACAGCTTAAAAGTTATTGCACTGAGTTTTGGTTAACAAAAAACAACAGCAAACCCAACAGACAAGAAAAAGTTTGTCTCACCCTTTCCTTTGCCAGTTCCTCAGTAAGCTTGGCATGTTCTTCCTGGAGCTCAGTGCATCTCTTTGTCTCCTCTTTTTTAGCCTCCTTTAGCAAGCCCAGCTCCTTCTTCAACTCTTCCACCCTCCTTAGTCCCTCCTCCTGAGTCTTGCCTAAGATATATAAAAACAAGAACTTCACAAACCTGGAATTATTTTCTGTACCTTGAATAGCCAAAGCCACTGGCTCAGGATGAACATACTTCTCTCTTCCTCGGAAAACAGACACCTCTGTTCAAGATGCGCCACTCGCTCATCCAGCTCCTTCTCCGTTCTCCGGAGCACCTCCCTCAGTCTAGAAAGCTCTGCTT